GGTTTAGGGTTTTGAGGTTTAGGGGTTTAGGCGGTAGGGTTTAATAAGGTTCACCGTTGCGGCGAAAGTGTGGTGATTTTGGATGTGGTCGGTGGAACTTGTGGGGTTTGTGGTGGGGTCGAGCGAGCTTGCGACGTACAGCTAAACCCTAAACCCTGCACCCTAAACTTGTAAGTCACACGGCACCCTTAAAACAACTCAGAAGTCACTAAGTCCCAATCATCCTCCAGCTACCCCGCACTGGCACAAGGTTCCGACTTCGTGGAAGATCCTGTTCCTAAACCCTAAACCCTAAACCCTAAACCCTAAACCCTAAACCCTAAACCCTAAACCCTACACTTGCAGTAGACTTTGGCCAAAGCCCGACCTCCTAAAGACCGGGCACCGAGCCAAATCCGAATCCCTAAACATTAAACCCTGAACTAAAACCCCCAAGCACTAAACCCATAACGGATCTATAAAGAGATCTTTAAGGGTTTAGGGTCTAAACACTAAACCCATAAGGGATCTATACAGAGATCTTTAAGGGTTTAGGGTCTAAACACTAAACCCATAAGGGATCTTTAAAGAGATCTTTAAGGGTTTAGGGTTTAGTAGAACCCTTGGAGCTTCAGCCCTCGATCTTCAAGCCTAAAGAAGCCCCTTCGAAGAAGCCCGAAGCATCGAGGGTTTAGGGTTAAGGGCTTAGGCGCTTTAGGGTTTAGGGTTTAGAGTTTAGGGTTTAGGGATCAATGTCCAGCTCCCGAAGAGACGACGCTATGAAAGACCGTCGGTGGAAACTGTAGGAAGCGCAACGATCCGAGCAGGTACGGTCTTCATCTATGACAGCGACCTGGCTGCGATGTTTTTTTTTCTTTTTTTGTGTTGGGCTGAAGCTTTCGTGGGTTTGCTGGCCATTTCTGGCATCATACGCCCTGAGCATGCCTCAGCAACTTAGCCAAGCCACAACGCCGGATAAAGCTGCAAGAAGGCGCCTGAGCCTCTGCTTACATGGGAGTTTCAGACAAGAAACATTAAATAGTAGGGTCCTTGCTACAAGACCTTCGACACCAAGAAAAAAGCACTGTCGGGGATCCCTCTAATATTAACACAATAATTGCTGTTACCATAACAACAAGAATCATATTGATAGTAATATTAGAAATGACGATAATAGAAATGGTAATAGTAGTAATAGCAACAATAAGTGATTTTAGGAGACCCCCCTTACCTGAATATCTGAAGCCACAAGGCATCCTACTTTCCAGCACCTCCAGGTCTTGCCTTTTGATGGCTTAGCCTAGGGTATAGGTTTTTTGGGTTTAGGGTTTAGGTTTTGATTGCGCATGGCCGAACACATAAAGCATGGGGACGGAAAATATGATTCCTTGAAGCCCTGAGCCGCAGATCTTAAACACACTCTACACCCTAGAACCAGTTCCTTATCCTGAACGCTACTCGCTAAACGAAGAAAAAGGGTTTAGGGTTGAGGGGCCTCAAGTTAGAAGCTGCAAGCTCCAGCCCTAACCCACGTTACACACCCATCAGCCTTACTGGTCGGTATGAACAGCAGGTCCACCCTGCATACCCTAAACCCCAAACGCCAAACCCCAAGTCCTACGCCCTAAACCTTATATGGCCTTATTAGTTAGAATAGGGTTTGGGGGTATATTAGATTATAGTTATAAGAAGGAACCTATTCTAATGATTCTAAGGCCCCTACAGTACTCAGGTGGGGAGTACATCCAGCATCTCAGTCATCTTATCGAAGCGGTGGCTCGGTCTTCCAGGTTTAACAACAGGCCTTTCCCAGGGAGCCCAATACCTCTTAATTAAGGCACATACCGTAAATCAGAATCTTAAGGCTCATAGAACTTAAGGCATCTATGCCTTAATTAAGGAGCAGCAGCATTTAGGCTTCAGCATGTCTGGATTCAAGGGTCTAGGGTTTCGTGTCGCTAGACCTTGGGGCTTTAGGCTTTCAGGGTTCAGAAAGTCGATGCTTTGGGAGCTTTTGGATGGAGGTTTGATGGTTCGTTTGGGCGGGACTCGAAACCCTAAACCCTAAACCCTTTCCATTGAGGCTTGCGTGGTTCGCGCCTTTTCGTCTAGGACGGCTATAGCCGTGTAGGGTACAGGCCTTTGTTTGGGCTCGGGCGCATTTAGGGGGTTTTGGGTTTATAAGGAGGGTCCTTGTCGAATTGCGCGCTGTTTCGGGTTCAGGGACTTAGGGGTCAGAGTTTAAGTCCTGAAAGATGCTTGCGTTTGATAGTAATGTAGTGGCCTTAATAATTAGCATAGGGTTATGGGCCTTCCTTATTACAATACTAGTATAATATTGCCCCCAAACCCTATTCTAATTACTAGGGCCCCTGTGCTAATGGTTTCGATTCATAACAAGATAAATATGGTCAAAGAAGTTGAGACGCTGCCGCCGTAAATCCCCAAAGCGCGAACTCCGAACGTCCAGACCTAATCACAACTAATGGTCCCGAAGAGCAGACTCTCTCCGTTTCTGTTCCTTTTTTTGGAATACCTTATAGGATAAATTTATGATAAAGAGATGGTGTAGCCAGAACAAAAGGAACTTCAACGGAGACTACAGGTGAACCGGAACCTTTCCAATGCCCTTTCGCCGCTGACCAGTCTGAACTCCTTTGGTCTTTTGATCCTTAAACACCCTCAACTCTAAAGCCTAAACCCCAAAACCCTAAACCCTAAACCCCGAAACTCTAAACCCTAGCTAGACCCTAAACCCCATGCTACCGGCAAGTGATTGTGTTCAATCCCATTCATCATGACTGGAACGGACATGCTCATGCGATCAGAAGTATATGCGAGCGGTGGTTGAAGATGAACAAGAGGACTTCTATGATACACAGAATGCTAAACCTAAAATTCGAGGAACTAAACAACCCCAAACCAGAACTGCACAACCGCGAACTACTGGGACAAGCTGGTTGGAAGACCCGGAAGCACTGCGGAGCCAGTGGGTAGTTCTCTAGTTTAGGGTCCCTTCTAGGGTCCTTTTTCATAAGGGTGCCGTACTATATTTTGGGATTTAAAAAGAGACCCTGACAGCAGGGCCTAAACTGCTTGGCAGTCAAGCCCTGCGCAAAGCCCGTGATGGACTTGCTGAAATGGACGCAACACTGCTGTCCATGGAAGAACGCGGGCTCCTATCTGAACAGGCTCTCCTATTCAGTTGCCTGAATCTTTTGCCAGGTACTGTGGCGCTCTCGCATGACCCCCAAATCCTAAACTTAACCCAGAACCCCTAAACCCTTAAGACCCTATCCAGAAGAGCTGAACACCCTAATACAGGGGCTACTATTTGGGGGTTCCTTGTTATAAGTATGGTATAAAGGGCCCCCAAACCCGATTGTAATTACTAAGGCCCCGATATTAAGACGCGTGCAAATCGGGTTTAGGGTTTAGGGTTTAGCTTTCCGAGGTCACACTGCAGACCCCTGTCGACTGGGCGGAGGAGAGTCGGCACCAAGTTTTGTTTACGGGAAGGTGTGTAGGGATGGAACTTTCCGGGGTGTCTGCAATGGTTGTATATAAAAGTGCGTCTTCAGCCGAAACCTGAAAATGACAATAAGTCCTAAAGCTTCGGTTTTCGAGTTTCGGAGGCTTCGGTAGGAACCCTTCCAACAGCCACCTCTGCACAGGAGCACGTGTAGGAACTGTTATAGGAACCCTTGTCATCTCCCTTCCTCAGTCAGCTTGAAAGCCAGGAGGCCTTTTCGAAGCCCTTGGGTGGCTTGGCTTCTTTTGAGGGTGCTGACTTGGTAGTGGGATTGTTGATCTTCAGGGTTTCGGGTGTTGGCTCGCAGTTTCGGATATGAGGTTTGCTTTAAACATGATCTTGCAATCCTAACACAAAAAACGCATGATACCGAAGCTGTCCCGGGATCAGATTCCGCCATTTTTGCTGCAGCTGCGGCAGTTTCCGCGTTGCATATGGTGTGCCTCTACGATTGGCTTATTGTATTCTGGTTATGTAGCGGAATCAACAATGCAGGGCTTCTAGGGCTACTCCAGGTTTTTTTCTTCCCATGCCTCGAAATTCTCACTCCACAGGACAGCCCATCGCCTAAACCCTAATCCCTAAACCCGAAAGTCCATTGCACTTAAAACAACCCTAAGTCCTACGCCCTAAAGCCCCAAACCCGAAGCCCCAAACCCATACCCTAAACCCTAAACCCTAAACCCTAAACTCTAAACCCTAAACCTAGACTCAAGACTTTAACCGTGCGTCCCCAGGCCTTACCGGCTTATTCCGGAGTGACAACATGTACGGCCAAATTGCGGTGGCCGGAAATCAGCATCTTTCTTGCAGGCAACGAGCTGTTTAGGGTTGTGCGTTCCGTGTTTTGGCTTTATGGTTTGGGGCAGAAGGGTGCTCGTATTAAACCCTAAACCCTAAACCCTAAACCCTATGGAAGCGCAAAGGTTTCGAATTCGGGCCGATCCGGGATGACCAGCCGAGCCTTTCCCTCTTCGGGGTAGGGATGCCTCCCAATCATCCACCGCCAACGTCCCAAAAGAGGTGAATACTCACCAGAAGCCCTAAATCCGACCGAACCCCTAAACCTGAGGCCCCTTATAATGCCTTAAACCCCAAACCCTTAATGCCCTAAACCCTAAACCCTTTATACCCTAAACCCCTAATGCCATACACCCTAAACCCCTATGTGCCCTAAACCCGACAAGCAGGAGATCTGAAACCCAATGCCCTAAACACGAAAGCCTCCGCTCCAATTTCTAGGACCCGAGAAACCTAAACCCACGGTCTAAGGGGTTTAGGGATTAGGGCAAGCCTCAAACCAAGAACCAAGTCCTCACGCCTCAAATTTCTGCCACTTTTGTACGCATAAAAGAGACTAGCACAACTAGAAGTCTAGGCTCAAGTACTCAATTCGGCTGGTTGCAGGTGTATGTAGGCACTCCTGTTCGCCCTAGCTATAGTCTCCATTGAAGTTCCTGTTTTGAGTTCCTCTTTAGGATCCTACATATAGAGCTGGTTAAACCAAGACAAGGAACTACAATGGAGACTATAGGTAGAGCGGGCCATAGAATCAATTCCGTGTGTTCCTTTAGATGACATCTCAGCGCCAGGGGCTTTGCGCGCATTGCGCAGCTCCTTCTCAACAAAGGAGCACCTCGGAATGTTGGGCTTAGGTTTTTCCACATTGTCTTCGGAAAAGCAGGCTTCGAGCATAGGGTTTAGGATTCTAGGGTTTAGAAAGTTTGGAGTTAGTTGGGGATCAGGATTTTGGGTTTAGGGTTATACAGGTATAAAGAGTTTAGGGTTTCGGATTCGCTACAGGGTCCGGGGTGTAGGATTCAAGACTCAAGATTGGGCTTAGGTGTCAGGGTTAGGTATAGGATTCAGGGTCATGGCTTCGGATTTAGGGATACTACTACTACTACTACTACGACGACGACGACTACTACTATTAGTACTAGTACTACCCCTAACTCGCTCAACCCTAAAGCTCAACTACACCGCACTGCATCGCAGAAGCTCCTCGCGAGGTGTGGTTGATCGTCCTTTGGGCCGTGGCGCCCTGGCCTGCAACTGTAAATGGGTAGTTTTCTAAATTCGGGTCCCTTTTGGGGTCCCCAAAAGGGACCTTAATTTAGAGAACTACCCCAAATCAATCTGAGCATCTCTGAGCCCTAGACCCTCAATGCCCTAACGCCAGAACCTGCTGATGGTTGTGGCTTGGAGCCTCGAAGCACTCCCGGACCCCTCTTAGGGCGTAGAGTTTTGGGTGTTCGGTTTTTGGGGTGGTAGGGTTTTGGGGGTGTAGGGTTTAGGGTGTAGGGTTTAGGGCTTTGGGGTTTTTGGGGGTCTCGGAGCGCCGCAAGAGGAGCCAGAGCCCCGGAAGCCCACGTCATGTTGCATCAGTAAACTCCCAGTTCAGCCCTAAACTCTAAACCCTAAACCGTGAACCGTAAACTCTGCACCCGAAGCACCCTACACCCCCAAAAGCCCTTCACCCCAAAAACTCTACACCCTAATCCCGAAACCCTATGCAGGCGTCGATGGCCATCTTCTTGGCCATGCCCTTTGCCGGATTCCGGCGCGCCGAGTCCTCCCTGCCCCTGGTGCTGAGCTTCAGACGTCGGGGTCTTCTGAAGGGTTTAGGCTTTAGGGTTTAGGGTGGATCTTGCAACCTCTGTTTATTCAGGATTATCATGTAGGGTGCTACATAATTACCAATATGATTCTGGGGGCTCCTGATTGTAATTCGAGTATAGTATGCGCCAAAACCCTATTCTAATTATTTAGGCCCCTATAGAATCGCCGATCCCTACGCCCGCAAGCCCATAGAAAAATGTCTACAAGCCCAAACCTCCTTACAACTTCCAGATCATTTGAAGGCCCAGAGCTCCTACATTCCCAACACAGAGTCAGAGCCCCCCAGTCTCACAACCCGCGCATCCCAGACTCCAGAACCAAAGAGAGCAGCCCAAGGAGTGTGCTGCGCGATCTTCAGTTCACTGTCCAAGAGCTTATCTTCCTGGCGATTCAGAGCCTGACACTTGATCGAGCTTTAGCGCCTTCTTCTTGTTCTGCCTTGGCAATGTCTTTGTATGACTTCGGAGGCTTGTGCAGCTTTTTGCAAGAATCACGTCTTATCCTTTGTGGCACATCGTCGAAGCAACTTGCAAGCTTGCAGACTTCGATGTGCATGTGTGCCTATCACTAGGTATGTATGTATGTACGTACATACATACATGCATGAGTTCGTACAGACAATCATACATGCATAAATACATACATACATACATACATACATACATACATACATACATACACGCTGACATACATACATGCATACATACAAGCATCCATACTGTGGAGGCCCAGTTTGAAAGGCACCGTTTTTGACTAGGTTTTGGGTCCCAAAAAAGGCCCTGCAGGATTTGCAGATGAACCTATTTTTCTATGCCCTGTTTGCAAGACTTAAGGCCTTAAAACAGGCTCGCCAAGACGCAAAGAAGGCCGTCAAGGACACAACTAAGAAGGAAAAAACGGTTTTGAAACAGAAAAGCCGTCTGGTCAAGGTGGACTGGGCGGGTTTGCTGTTGGTGGTCAGTAATATGGGCAGCATCCTACGCGTAGGTGCGTGCCGCCTCAGGCTCACGGAGTGACGTTCTGCGAGGAGAGATGCCAAGAACTAGCACGTTGACCAAGCGCTGCAAAAGGCAAGAAGCCGCAGCACGTGACCGTGGCAGTCAGTTTGGACAGGTGCGACAGCGGTGTGCTCCGGACAGCTTGGTTTGCTTGCTTGATTACATCTTGAGGACTCGACTTCCGCCGTGGAGTGGGCTTACATTCACGCGCCCTTGGACGTCTTGGTGGATCTCGAGTTAGACCCGCTGAAGCTTTTAAGCGCAGTTGCCGCGCTCGCTGCTGCAAAGTATGTCTTGGAGAATGGGGTGGAAACGCAAAACCGAGATCATGGTGTGGCTCTTTCTCGACATTTCGCCCTGACCTGTGTACCAAACATGGTGCCGCGCGAGGATCGGAGCCGTTTCGTTGGTCAGATGGGCCGGCGCGGAAGCAACGAAAGTTTCTGGCGAGCTTCGTCGTCGCTGGGGAGCACGATATTGACGTTTTCGAGCTGAGGATGTGGTTGGTGTTGAGGAGGGTAGAAGGAAAGCAAGCAGCTTCAAGCATTCTTGCACAGCGGGTAGGGGTATAGGACTTTGTCAAGTCAGAGACTCTGTGCGCTTGCACGCTTCCTACAAACAGAGGCATGTAGCGTAGACGTCGAAGAGACCGTCTTTGGGCTTATGGGTCAAGATAGCTTTTCTGGTTTCTTGCTCACTTTCGGTTTCATCTGGTGAGTCGAGTTGTGGGGTCGTTTTCTTTCAGTGGATGCACGAGGCCTGGAAAGAATCGCCAAAAGCACCGTTGTTGGTGAACATGGACGAAGCTTCGATGGTTCGGCATCCTGCGGGACACTTGGGGGCTGTGATGAAATCAGCACAAATGAAAGGGCGCTGCGCGGTAGACCGTACCACCCACGTAGAACGAAGGTCCTGCATAATGCTGCTGGCCTCCATGTGTCCGGAGAGCACGTGCAAGGGATCTTACCGCAAGTGCTCTTGGGGAATGAGCATCAGCTCAGCGTGCGCACCCCTCGGACTTTGCGTCCGTTCCTTCCCAACAATCACCACATTTGGCGGGGGAAGGGTGCCTGGACCAATACCGGTCCCATCAAGCGGTACCTCACAGCTTGCTTGCGCGTAGTTTGGGCAATGTTGTGGAGAAGCGTACAGTGCTTGTCCGCATGGACATGAGCCCGTCCCATCTGGACTCTTCGCTGATTGCTCATGCACGGCGCCTCTCGTTGAGATTGGTTCTGGTGCCAGCCAAAATGTCGAAGTGGCTGCAACCTGCAGACGTCGCATTGTTCAACAAATTGAGGAAAAGCCTCCGTGCAAAGAGGTGCGAAGTGAAATCGACGTCGCCGCAAGGCACTGCGTCGCAGGAACAGTGGCTCCGCCTAATTTGCAGGGTTGTCCAAAGACGTTTTACTTGGCGTCTGCTGGCGGGCAGCGTTTGCATCTGCTAGCCCTCTTCAAAGCCGAGAAGCTGTAACCGAAAGTTTGTGCCAAAAGAACTCGGCCTGGACACTCTGCCGCAAGTTCCAGCGAGGACTCCGACAAGGGACGAGGCAGCGTGGATCCATTTTTGCCCAAAATCGAGGGTCCTTTGGAGGAGCGGTGAGAGCGTGTTGCGGCGCATGAGCAGTATGATGCTGGTATGCATGCTGCGCGGGTCGCGGCGTGGCGGTGTGATGGAGATTCTGCATGCTGAATGGGTGTATCACGGATGACGCGGCTCGACAGCTGTCCACGCAAGACCTTACGGAACTGCTCCGTGCCAAGGAGGCGACTGGTGTGTATTGGGGGTTAGTGTCAGCACCAGGTTGGTGCCAGGAAGTGGCGAGCGAGCAGCAAGCAGAGTGAGTTTGAGTGTGCACAACGGACGGTACCGCAAGTCTCCTCGGTGAAGGCTCTACACCGCAGTAAAGTGCCTCGGAGTGGCGCGAGCTTTGTGCAGGTGCAGCACTGCAAGCGTAGCAGTGCTTGGTAACTCTACGGGAAAGTGCCTGGAAGTGGCCAAGCTGTGTTAGTCGTCGCAGCAGACGCGACGCAGAAGTGTGCCGCAAAGGCTTTACAGTGTACAGTACAGTAAAGTGCCTAGGAGTGGCACGAGCTGTGTTCCGTCAAGTCAAGTGTACACGCAGGAGTGCCATTGGAAAAGGCTGGAGTCAAGTGCCTACGAGTGGCGCGACTGTGTTCGCCGTCTGTCGTCTGTACTATTCCAGTCTCATATAGTTTTGTGTTCAAGCATCAAAGCAATATGCGCCCGAAGATTCTTTCAAGCTTCTGAGTACGGCCATCCAACACGTTATGTCTAAGCATGTGCATGTGTTTGTGCTTTTTGTGGCTCACAATAGCTGTCTTCAGACGGCAGAGATGTGCCCGGACCCAGCGTTCGCAGGGCAGCGCGACATGAAACTTCGAATTCCAGTCATTTTGGCTTCTGCAAACTGGAGGCCGGTATCTCGAAACAACCAGCGAGCGACAGAGTCTAAGGCGCTGTTGTCATTGGACTCTGTGCTGCTCCAAACACTGCCGTAACAAATCGGCTCCTGCAGTACCCCAAACACTGCGGTAAGGAGCGAGCAGAATTAGGATTGAAACTGACATGTGACCAGATTCGAAAGCAGATCTCTGGCGCCGCCCACAGTGCAAACATAACGTGCGTACTGCCGTCCAATGTAGAAGTTCAAGAGCCTTGCCGGATCAGCATTGAAGGGCATCTAGCGCATTACGATCTGCGCGTTTCAGTGTGCAGTCGAGATTTCGGAATCTCAGCTTTCGAGCAAAAGTGCGGGAAGGCTTGTGTGAGTGAGTGAAGGGGGGATGGTTGTAAATGGCCTTGGCAACCACGCGGCTCCTACAAAGCCCTGACGAAAGCATCTGCAAGAGCTTTCGTCGGGCACTTAATCAGGGGTGTTGCGGTTCGGTTCGGTGCGGTTTGGGTCTACTGCGGTTTTACCTCAATCATTTACCGTTCGGTGCGGTGCGGTTCGGTTTGGGTTTACCCCGCTTTTCCCGCCCACACCA